TTTGTTTTTTTTTTTTTTTTTTTTTTTTTTTTTTTAAGTCGGAAGATTCTTCAGAGAACTTGATACCCCTGCCATGGAAACCTTCCCCCTCTTTTTAAACAGTGATCCCAGTTTAATTCTCAACTAACATTTACTGGCAGACGAATCAGGTTCAATGACTTTGTAGCAGCGTCCATGTACATTTACCAGATTAAAACATATGTTCTTTCTCACGTGTTCAGTTTGTTTAGGGACATGTATGACTTCTCAGTTAAAATCAATAAAAGGTTTCAGTGTAAGGGTCCAGCACTGCAGAGTGCTATCTGGATGAGAGCACTTTAGACTGCAGGGCAGTGGGGAATCAGGTCCGGAGTCTTTCAGTAATCAAAATAATGTGACAGGATCAAGAACATTCTTAGTTAGGGGTTGTTTATGACATAGCCACAATTTAGTTAGGAATTTAAACTTCTCAAAATATGCAGGAACACCTGGGGTGCTTTCTGAAAGTTGTGAGCCCTTCTAAAATAAATCTGCAGAAATCTTTGAGGTTTTTTGTATGCTTAATGGAGGCCTGATTTGCTTTATTCTGACCATCGCAATCTTTTTCAGCACACCTAATGAAAAGCTTCTGGGGCGTCTGGTAAAGGAGAAGGTAACTATTGCTTTAGAATACATTATTCTTTCTGTTAAAACAGAAGTCTCTACAATGTAGAAACAGTAGAGAGAAATGTCTGTTTTTTGTCCAAAAAGGGGATGTTATGTTTCAAAATAGGTAGTCCTCAGAAGAGGCAGAAGTGATTTGGAAATTTTTTTTGTGATTGACATAAGAATTTCTTGATTGTTGACCTGGGTAATCTTTTTTGCTATCTTTCGCTAGTCTCTTGACAGTTCTTTCCATCCACTCTTATTAGAAATAACACCATTTGAAAAAATATTTTAAGAAAGAAAATCCTGAAAAAAACCTTTGAATCTTTTTACTGGCTTTTATTTACAATGTAGCACATAACATATTCTAAGGAAATGATACTTTACAAAAGCTGTGCTTACCAAAGAGGTGTTTGGGTTTGGTGGGTTTTTTTAAATATTAACCAAAACTCAATATAAGCTTGTCCTGCAAATTGAGTTAACAAGCACTTCATTGGCAAATATTCTGATACGCTAACCTTGAAACACTAAGATCATAAATAGATGGAGGTATTTAGCTGTTTTTTCATTAGCAACAGCAGGGGAAGGCAAGATCTGTGTTTAGAAAATAAAAAAAAATGCACTTATGACAGCAAGAAATATTACTTTTCATGCATCCTGGAAGTCACAAAAAATGAAGTGTCCAAAAACAAAAAGTGTAATAAATGAAATACAGGATAAAGTCCTTGTGCAACTTCAAACTTTAATAACTTGGTATATACACATGATAGAAGCAAAGTGTAAACAGCGATTGAAACCATAATTCATTAAGTTTTTTAACATAGTGTAAGCTATGCATAAAGTAAGAATCACAAATGCAATTCATGAAATCACTCAGCAGCAACTGGAAGATGTTTTCTGCGAGTTGGAAAATCAGATTGAGTTATTTATCACGAAAGAGTGGTTATGTTGAAATGTAGAAGTTTGAGCTGTCTTGTGTTAAAACCTAATGAATTATGCTTTCAATCACCATGTACAGTTTGCTTCTATCATATGTACATCTAGAGTTATTAAAGTTTAACGTTGCACAAGGACTTCATCAACACCCTGTATGTTTCCTTTGCTTAATTTGTTTAGAAGGGTTTTTTTAAATATTAGTTTTCAACGATTAAATTGTGGTGGCTTTCTTTATATAACCCTCCCCTGACCTTATCGTATCTCGTATTAATTTATTAAACTATCTGGTCTTCTTGCAGTATGATACAGACTTCTACATACTTGACAAATATCCTCTGGCTGTGAGGCCTTTTTATACAATGCCAGACCCAGTAAATCCTGTAAGTAAAGTGCTGTGGCGTAGTCAATGTAAAAGTAAAAGGTTTAATTTTACTATGTAAAGCTAATTTGGCAGGTGAGTATTTTCTTCTTTGATTTACAGTGCTAATGAGTCTTAAGTTGGGCACAGTGATATCAAGGGTAAACCAACACCAGTTGCGCTGCATTTGGTTAAAAGTTGCATATACTTTTGAAAGCTAATAGAGGCATAACGGGGTAGCTGGGTGCCCAGGGCAGGGGCAGTTTCCAACTGCTGGTGCTTCTGGCATGGTTGAGCAACTACAATTGCAGCTGTTATTTTTCTGGACTCCTGACCATATACCCTGTCCCAAGGTGGGTGCACAAGTCTGTTGCCCCAGTCACCCCACCTTGATGGAGAGGAGGTTTAGATTGGACATCCGCAAAAACTACTTCACAGTTAGGGCGGCTAGGAGCTGGAACCAACTTCCAAGGGAAGTGGTGCTGGATCCTACCCTGGGGGTCTTTAAGAAGAGGCTGGATGCCTACCTGGCTGGACTCATTTGAGTCCCGTTTTTCTTGTTTTGGGGTTTTGCTGTTCTCCCGCCCTGGCGGGGGGGTCGGGCTAGAAGATCTACTAGGTCCCTTCCGACCCTTAATCTATGAAACTATGAAACCGTGACCTCGCATTGTCGGCCTATGTTCAT